AATGTTGAACTCAATGTGAGGTAAATGTATGTTTGTATTAATTACAAAGTAATTTACAATTAAATGAATGCATTTATTAAATTAATTGACAATTCAAATAGGTACATTAGACAATATGTATCGTATCAGTGATACAGTATCACCCATTGAACACACTTTTGAGCACTTTTTCAAACCTGTTAATCAACTCATCACCCTTGATGAAAGTGATTCTCACAACAAATTGTGCCGCCTTTTGATTTTCCTGGCTATAAAACATAACACCCGGAAACATGAATAGGTCCTGGGTAATCAAATAAATAAATATTAGATACAAGTTATTAATTTAAACTCATTTATATGCAATACCTTATGTTTTGCGAGCCATAGAGCGAATTGAAAGCCGAATCTATCGTCCTTTTCTGAGGATATATCTACTTTATGGACAATATTAGTGAAATTGGCCATGATGAAATAGCCAGAATTAGGTTTGACCACTTCAACACCCGTCTCATTCAGAATCCGTAGAAATTTATCTCTCGAAGCCATGGATTGTTTCCTAACATCTATGAAATACGAGTCATTAGTGTTGAGTCTCTTAGTCTCGACCTCCAATCCTATAGCGTAGGCCAGTTGTGTGGGTGTGGGCACCGCCAACACGGCTGTACTGATCTCTACAATCAATCCTTACAAGAGCTCTTCGGGTCCCAAAACCCATCCTATTCTCCAACCGGTATTACTAAACAGTTTTCCGCCACTGTTTACAGTCAGTGTCCGATTCCAGAGTCCCGGCAGAGTTGCTGTCAATTCACAGGTTTAATGCGGATTACAATTTTGTAAATCAATATTTGTAATAATAAACATTCAAATAAATAATAGTCACCCATTCGGAGGTCTGTTTGTACTGAAACTGATAAAACTGTGCTATACCTAATCAGATATGATTATCACATCATGTTTGGTACACAACTCCCCAATAAATACCAATTCTTCTTCGAAATACGTCTAAAAGATTTTAAAAAATAATTGCATATAAAGTGAGCTCACATTTAGTTATATACGTAAAAATATATATAAATATTTAAAATATTATAAGTCATACTTTCCCGGATGGATTATTGGGATTGTTAACCCAGATCATCTTGGTTTTATTAGTGAACTTAGACTCCAATTCCTTTCTATGAAATGTCAATTCATTGGACTGGCGAGCAGTTTGTCCATCGCGTGGTCTAAGCGGCACATACACGAGAACTCCACCCCTGAGCTCTATTATATGTCTGTAGTATATATAAAATGGTTCAAAAACTATCACTTATGAACAAGCTCACTCACTCATTAGTGTCGCCGGGGTTTATAAAGGTGTGTGCAATGGCAGTCAGAGCCTGTATGGCGCCCACAGTTATCAGCACTTTTTATTAGCATCTATTTTGCGGTTCATTAAAATGCCGTTAAACTCGGTCACAGCTGCCCTCAGCCAATGGTGACCCATGAAGTCTGCGTATTCATGCATTTCAAAGGCCGAGTCGTTTGATGTGACACTTTCGAAGGCTTCCAACATATGTTTCGGTGGATTATAGTTGGGATAACCGAACATCACTTCTATGGCGTCCGGTCGGGACAAAACAGTCCTCCATCTCTATACTAAATATATGTTTTTCAGCAAGTAACATTATATATTGTTTAACCGAAAATCATTTCAATTAGATTTATAATGGGTTTCTGAGTAATGTATAACTTACTAGATGTCGGCGTCGCTTATGTTAAAAACATTTGCTGTTTTCGATGACCACGGGTATTGTGAGCGACGAAAGTAGTTAACATTTGCCGTGAATATTATTTCACAGTTTATTAGTGCAAACAAAATAACCCTTAAATTTAAGCAGAATTTCATTCTTAAACTTGATTATAAACACCAATTTAATTAATTCTTTAATAGTTTGAATAAAGCCAGAATTACGGTACTTTGAAAATGAATTTAGATTAAATTGAATGAAAAATACCTATTTAAAATAATTATAAATAATTAAATTGAGCACTAACACAGATGTTAACACAATTTTACCCTAAAAGTGGTGATTTTTTCATTAACCTGGGAATATTCAATGATTATAAAATGTTGTTACAAAAATTTTAAAGCTTACTTGTTAGAATAATTTTCTAAATTTTTTTAAACGTTGTAAAAATTACAATGTAAATTATAACTTATAATTATTTTGCACACAAAATGTGGACATAATGTAGTTTAGTGATATTTATTACATAACATAATATTATTAATTACATTTTATAATGACTTATTCACTAATTAAATTCATTTTAGTGTAATTATTGTTATATATTAAAACTATTCTTAACATTATATGATTAAACATTGAATATCCAAATTAGTTATGTTGATGTTTAGGTTTGAATTTGAAATATAGCATTGGTGTTTTTGTTTTAACAAATGACTTCTTTAAAATCAATTTAAACCTTGACAACATTAATATGAACCATTAGCACTTATTGTGGACATCAAACTCATTGCAAATGCCATTTGTGAGGGCGTCGGCACCAATAGTATAACTACACTAACTGTACTTCAAAGCTCACCTCAGTTTGTGTATCCATTGAGTGAACCACACAATTCTTGAATATATTGTCCACATTCTTACTATTCTTAAATAACGGCTTTTATTATGTATTAAGAAAGTCACTCATTTGATGTTTCATTTTGTTTTATACCAAATTAGACACTGGAGTCCATTTAGAAAGTAGGACTTCTTGATCCATAGATCTAATAAAACTTTTGAGACAAACTTTTAGGAGTTTTCAACTTTGGCTCTAATTCTTTGTAATCCATTATTAAGTTCTATACCTTTATCTGTTGTTTTATGAAAGAAAGGTCACTTTGAGCCATCAAAATAGAGGTATCTTTTGAGATAATACTTTGTAATCACTTATTTCATGTAATCAAATATTTCTTCAATAAGATTCAGATTAATAAATCAATCATTATGTAACATTTATTAGTAAAATGTGATAATAATTAAAATTTAATTTAGTTAAAAAAATCTATATTATGTGTGATATGATTGTTAAATACATACATACTATTAATGTTAATTATTTTCATAAAGAATAGAATTTATTATAAATATATATATATATATCTATATAAATATATAGATATATATGTTAGAAATGAATACAGAGTTAATATAGCTTAATATTTGAAAACATTTATACACATTCAACTGATCATTTGCTTTACACTTTTATTAACATTTAACACTAATTTCTGGGCCTATAATAGAGTCATTCTTAAATGTTTAAATTATTCATAAAAATACATAAAACAATACATTATATGAATGAATGCAATATTAGATAAAACATAGATTTACGTCACAATTCTCGTATAAATTGCGGCACAAAAAGTGATGTACTTTTAAAGCTCTAAACACAACTTTTTTTAGATCAATCCCTTTATGATCTAAATTATGTTTTAATACTAAACATAATTTGTTGCCATCATTTTCATGATTTTCCTATTATTCCGGTGCAGAACACACCCAATGCTGTACTCTAAATAAGCTCATAAACTGAGACAAGAGTCCAAATAACACTTTCTATGTATTTCTTGGGAGTGGATTACCTTAAAAGTGCCAAATGTTGTTATATTGTGTTTTCGTTTTTATGTTTGGGTGAGAGAGAGAGAGAGAGAGAGAGAGAGAGAGAGAGAGAGAGAGAGAGAGAGAGGTGTCATATTTACATCATAACCAAATTGATAGCTATTCTATCAATTATTTATAGCAAATTAGTTAACACTAATTAGTTGCCAATAATAATCCGTTTGCACAGACATTCACATTAGACTCACATGTATAATGATTTTGACAATACAATCAAAATATGATAACTCCGAATTGAATGAATATTATAAATAATAAATATGATAGAAATGTAGATTGTGTTTGACGCTAGTATGTTTAAAAATTAATTTTTGATTAAATTTTATTTGTTTTCAATATTGTCATTATTTTAAGTGAATTTCTAGCAAATGACTGACTTGTGAATATATTCTGTGTTAATAATAAGATTGTTACGATATATGGGTTTATGTATTATTAATACAAATGAATATTATAATGTATATTATTATATAGTGTATAGAATATATAATATATAAATAGCGATTAAATCTTTAGATTTAAATATTGCAAAAATTGAAACAATTTATGAAACCATTAGTTGAATAACAATTTTTCAACTTTTCATTACTTACAGATTGAAGATATTTTTATCACTCTTTTCTTTCCATTTCTGAAAACAGTTTAAAACAGATTTTAAACCAAAAACAGTTTTCAAAGAAAACACACATTAAGTGTCCACTCAATAAGCCATGTCTTAAAGTGATCTATGATTGTGAACTTATTTTACGAGTGTTTCCGTTGTGATGATTATTCACGAGTCCGTCATTCATGTCATTGATCACCGAAATAGACATTGAATTTCTTTGTCTCAATTCTTCCATTTCTTTTCGCCTATTCATACAAAACGAAATAAGTTTATAATTATAACAAATAGTGAGAAATGAAAGGCGAATACCTTATACAGAGATAGAGGTAAATACATGAGAGCGCAGTCATCGTGAGGTTCAGCAAAATGATGAGAAACTTGAGTCCACCCGAGCCCGTGAAGCAACTGATAATTGTGGCCAAAGTCATGACAACCGCGAAGACGGACATTACGGCCAGATTTCCCTTCAGTACTCCCAAAATGCCGATCAACTCAAACGTGAAGCAAATCAACGCCATTATTAGCATAATGATTGCTCCCAATTCTGGTGGCAAACAGTTTTTACAGAATAAAAATTGCTATCATTTGAACAGAAGTGTGGCATAAATGTGGTACCCATGAGACTCTGGTCCCTAAGATTGTCCACATCCTGAGAGGCGCCCACAGCGAACAGTGCGGCCACTAATTGGGCGATCGATCCGATTATACTCAACCCAATCACTGATATTAATATAGTCTTCACTAAAGTCACACTATTTGTCATATGAATTGGCATTTCGTATAATTAAGTCGATTTCCCGGACGTAATCTCTTCTCACTATTTATTTCAATAATTTTTTTCGGTTTAAAAATAACTCTTTTCTCTGTCGGCACACGACTTCACACAACGATTACTATTATAGGGTTTCTCTTATTTATATTTTTATCGTCAATTATTATCTCAATCAGTGTTCAAGTGATGGATTGATTGTTGGCTTTGATTGTAGTATTCATTGAACTCAATGAGAGAGTGATTTTGGTTTAGTTACACCAAAATAGCACCGGTGCTAAACAGGTACTTATGGTTAGTATGCAAATTGAGTGACACATCACACAAAGAGATATCGACTGAAAAAATATTGTTCACGACTGAAGCGAACCCATAGTTTAAGAACTTAATCGCGAGGAATGACTGAACGACTCGCTGTATATGGAGTTCCCAATCCATATATACCTCAATACCTGTCCTCTCACTCCTCTGTACCACACGAAAGAGTAAAGTATCCGTTTTTATATAGACTCTCCTCTATGTATAGCCAACCATTAATAGCTTTAATGACTTTTCTGAGGTAATATTGTTCAGCAGTTTTATTATTTGTCTTTTGTTTTATGTTTGATGAGAACAAGAGATATACAAAAATCGATATATTTTTTGTCGTTTAAATAATTGATTAGAAGATTCTCTTTAAAAACATGTTATTTCGCGTGTTATCAATGAATATATATTTTTTGTGTGTTGTAGTGATTTTTCTTTTTCTAAAAGGCTTATCATTTAGACTTATATTTCTATTTTGGATAGAAAATTAATTATTTTTTAT